TCCACACTCAAGACAACTGCAGTTCAAAGCAGAGTGCCACAAAGCGACCTCCCTCTCAGTTTCAGAGGCTGTCCTGAGTATAGTATAGGGCTGGCTCTTAAAGGCACAAGAGGATAATATAAGATTTAAAAAGATAAAAAAGTAGAGAGTACCAAGTCCCATAAAAGAAATACTACAGAGTGTAACAAGGGTGGAAGGAAAGAACAGGATATGGTTGCAGATGAGGTGACAGTTGAGATGAGTGTGAGAATTTAGCAATAAAAGCCTTGGGAGGAATGAAAAGAGGCATTCTGGCCAAAGATAAGAGTCAGGGGCAGGAAAGCAGGGGGCTGTCTAGGGGAAAGGAAGGAAGAAAGTTTTAGCTAGAAAGTAGGCTCCAGGCAGAGGATCATGGGAGATGAACTCAGCTAGGGCAGTGAGGGAGCTAGGTCACAATGGCCACATGAGGAGCCTCGAATGACAAAATATCAAATTGGTAAATAATGAGGAGCTAGTGGAGGCTCCCCAAATAGAAGTGCAGAGAACCAAGGTATGCTTTGAAAATCTGCACCTAGCAATAGACCAGACAGAAATAAATTGGGGAAGGGGCATTACAGAGCCCCGAGGGCGGAATCAATAGCCGTACCTAACGCTATCGAGGGGTTTACCTTGTACTAACCCTGCTGAGCTTGCATGATCTCTTTTAATCCTCACAATTACCAAAGGTACACTTACTACCCCATGTTACAGAGAAGGGAACCAAGGTACAGAGAGGTTATGAAGTGTCCCCCAGATCATACAACAGTCAGGGGTGGCGCTGAGACCTGCAGCTACCCCAGCTGGTTGGACTCCAGTCCAGAGCACTGGACCACCAGGCCAGCCTGCTTCTGAGTCAGGGCCTGGGCCCTGCACCCTGATGTCTCAGTTGAGCTGAGAAGTAGGGGGAATGGAGAGAACAATACAAGGGACATTGCAGAGATGGTATGCCTGCAACCCACCATTTGAGGACTGACTGGAGAAAATGTGAAATAAGGTTCCTCAGGGTTGCTGCACATTAAGGCAGAAAAAACAAACAAAACAGAATTAGGATTTGCGCACGAGCATATACCAAATCCTGCTGCAAGTGATCCTATACACAGACCAGCTGCTTCCAGAAACAGCTTAGTTTTGAACAGCTGGAGCCCACTTGCTAAGCAAGCTAAATGCCCCAAGAGATTCCAAGAAAAGGGAGAAGATAGATGGTGACTGTGAAATAGACTAAACTGTTGCCCTCAAGACCCATACGCTGAAGTCACAACCCTCAGTACCTCCGAATGTGACCTCAGTTGGAAACTGACATGCAGTAGATGTTACTAGTTAAGATGAATAGGGTCGGTCCTTAATCCCCATGACTGGTGTTCTTATAATAATCTGGATACTGCCATGCACACGAGGAGGTGCCAAGGGAAGATGAAGACAGGGACTGGGGAAGAGGGTTTCCAAAGCCAGCCAGCAAACTGCCACGGGTGAGGGCCTGGCGCAGACACTCCCTCCCAGCCCTGAGCAGGAGGCAACCCTGCCACCACCTTCGCATCTGTGGGACACTACAGATCTGGTGTTTTGACCACCCAGTGTGCAGTTCTTTGTTTTGGTAGTCCCAGGACACTACTACTGTGACCTGTGTCATGCTTTCCCATACAAGGATCACCTTCACTGTGTCCTTCAGTGAGCAAAACGAAGAGCCCCCTGTGAAGCTTGGCAGTGCTGGGACATGTGCAGTTACAGGACCGTTTCTGTGTCCTGATCGCAAGTGAAAAACGGACAAATGTTTGAGAGTTCATCTCTCTGAGGTTGCCGAGGCACCCGGGACTATCTTTGATTTAAAAAAAAAGAAGAATGTTTACGTTAACAATTAAGGACCTTTCTCTTCCCTTTTCTCTTAGAAGCAAGTCTTGGCCACATCTGATTCTTCCTGTGTCCTGAAGCACCATCCCACGGGCAGTAAACTGAGAGGCCCTGTTGGACCCCTCACCAGGCAGGGGGTGCCCATCCCAGGGCATGAAGCCACATCACGATGACCATGGCCTCTCAGTTTCACAGCGGTAACAGCTCCCTGAAATCCTGAAACTCGCTGTGAGTGGCCATTCCACCTCCAAAGAGCCTCACACATTCAATTCTGCAAAAACCATTCATTTCTTTGTTGCGCCCACATGTTGCTTTGAAGGATGAGTGCTTTATGGGTCTCAAGTGAATGGCTGTGGTCTTGAAGGGAAGCGTGTCCGCCCTGGGGAATTCCAGACTCTGTTTTCAGAGAGTGAAGAGCGGCACTAAGAAGTGAAACCAAAGCTGTACTTCTTCTGATACTCGGAAAACCCCCTACTCCAGAATATTTTTGCACAGGTACAAAAACAAAAAGTATGGAAAACTGTACTATAAAACCAGAGTTTCCTACAACTCAAATGTAAGCCACCAGAATGATCTATTTAGAAACATGAAAAACCTAGGATGGTCTGCGGGGCAGAGCACCTCCCTCCCTTCTCAGCTGACAGTAACTAACAAGTTATTAAGCACGTAAGATGTGGAAGGCACACTTCTTGGGCTGTTATGTGGAACGAACTGTTTCTGACAACAACCCTACATGGTAGACACCTTTATTATTCTCAATGTGCAGGTGCAGAGAATGCAGCACAGATGGGTTAGGAAACTGGCCTGAAGGTCACAGAGCTCTAAGTGGCAGGGCTGGGATTCCAAACCAGACAGTCTGGCTGCAACACACCCCACCCCCTAGACAAACAAACAACTGAGCCAGACATATACACAAATAAGACAAAAGGAAATAAAGTGAGTGGGGACAGGTTAAGGAGGGTGGGTTGAGGTTGGAGAGAAATAAGAGAACACCAATTACATTCCAAGCACTGGGCTGGCACTTCACACGTGTTTTTCCCATTAAATTGGTACAGCACCCAGGTGAGCGTTACTTACTCTCTGATGAAACAGTGAGGCTTGGAGAGGCCTGTATGAGGAGGGCACATTAGTAAGTGATGTCCCTAAACTCAGTTTTGTGGATTGCAAAAACCGGTGTCATTTTCCCAGCCCATTTTCTCCCACCCATGGCTTCAAACTGTAATCTCGGCGTTATGAATGGTATAATCTGCTTTTAAAAGTCAATCCAGCATTGAGAAACAGTGGGCCTGGGGTCTGGAGGGGTGTCACCCCATTCCAGCTGCATACTTGTCCAAAGAATCTGAGTACAGTTCAGGGGCTTAACCAATGTGCCACTTTGAGAGTTAGCTCAAGTACTAGTCCCACTTTGGCACTCAAACTGTGTGGCTTCAGCCAAATTCCCTAACCTCACTGGGCCTCTGTTTGCCTTAAGTACAAACTGGACATAAAGCTGCCAGGGATGTGTACCTCATAAGGTTAATATAAAACAGGCATCACCGATAAAGGTGAACCGGCTGTGAAAACTGTAATTTGCTCCACAGCTGATCTTCGCTGAAAACAGCATGACCAGGTCATCCCCACAGCCACCGAAGTCCAGCAGGTCCACACCTGGCCGGGGAAGCACCACCAGAATGGCCCCATGTGAACTTCACTCTCCTCCCTGGGAAAGCTGTGCTCAGGGCCGCAAAGGTCTGGCTGGGCCTAGGCCCCAGAAGCTTCCCGCAAGACAGGCTTGCCTGTTTAAACAGGTATCCACCAGGTGATGCTCGGAGGGGGAGGGAAGTCCTTGCAGAGTGAACTGTCTCCTCTCTCGCCAGGTCCCTGCATACTTGGCCAGCTGGTTGGCATTCGGCTGTGAGGGGGGCAGGGTGCCATCTGGTACAGCATCCAGCATTGGGTTTCACCTCGTATGTTACCGAATCAGGAAAGGTAGCGGTGCGGCAAGAACTCTCGCCAGGAGGTAGAAGAGGAAAGAGGACGGAGGGGAGGATCCAGATTGGACGAGTGGGTGGGAAGAACCTTCGCCAGTTCCCAACAGACAGGAGCCCACCAAGACTATCCCCAACCCCCACCCCGGGAGTTCCGGCCCCAGGAAGAGGAAGGGATCCGATCTGCATAACAGTGAATCACCACCAGGCACTTCGGCACAATGACCCCTCCAGGAGAGGGTGGAGGAGCTCGTTCCACAACTGCCTACACTAAGGGCAGTTCCGAACAGCAGCAAACCAGTCTAACCCCAACTCCCATTTTGCATACACTCCAAAAACAACGTCCGAGGAACACGTTGATCGATACCAATTGTGAATACGGAGGTTTGGGCCAAGAAGGGATTAAAAAGATCCCTTGGAAGGAACTTTGCATAAGATGGTTTGGGGGAGTTGATATTCAGTGTCCTTATACTGGAAGGGCCGTTGGCAGCCACACATATAGTTCAATCAACAGATCTTGGTGAACTCTGTTTCAAAAGAAAGTTAAGCCAAAGGGTTTGACCGATAAACCAAAGGGAACTCTTTAGTCACTAGGTGACTGTTGGGGCTCCTGTTTTATGCTAATAAGCGATTACTCAAGTTCTAGAAGGAAGGCGTACTGTTAGCAAGGGGAAGGCTGGTCACCGTAGGATGGTCTGCCAGCTGACCTCTGCCTGCACACTGACCACCGCTCCTTCATCCAGGGAAGCAGCAAAAACGAACAGCAACTGGGTTAAAACTCCGGGCGGGGACCACTGCGTTAGGTGGGGAGCGTAGTTCTTAAAAAGAAACGTGCGTCCTCCCGGAGGCCAAGGCCTCCTTCGGGTCCTCCAAGTCGGGCACGGGTTCCAGAAAAAAAGATGTCTCGGTGTACACGAGGTACTGAAAAAATGCAGCGGGCAACAATATTACCAGCATCCCTTCTCCTCCCCGCTCCCAAGCCCCGAAGTATGCTCGATAGATAAAAGCCTAATAGCTTTCATTCAGATTCACAAAAAGGAGAGGCGCAGAGTCGTCCGCGAACCTACAGACCCCTTGGGGCTGAGGGTGGAAAGTACGCAGTGCGCCCCCTCCCCAGGTTCCTCACACCACCCAGGGCTCCCGGCTCTCCGCACCGCGCTCTCCGGTTACCTCGCTCGCGTGTCCGCAGGCGTCCGGCACCTGAGCCGTCGGTTCCGCCGGTGCCTCCTCCTCCTCCAAGGGGCTACTCGGAGCTGCTCCGGGATCCCCGCCACCTCCCGGGGCAGCCTGGCTGCCGCCGTCAGCGCTGGTGCCGACTCCTCCCGCCGAAGAGGCGGCTGCAGCGGCGGCGCTGAGCAGCCCGTGTGCCCCGTCGGCGACCCCGGCCTCCACGCTGTGCACCAGCCACGCATCCACGTGGGTGCGGGGGATGAAAGGGACCCCAAGCGTGCGCACCTCCCGGAACAGCTGGCCCTCGGGTTCTGCCACGGGGTCTGGCTCCCGGCCTTTGGGGTGCAGGTGGTCCGTGCGCCCCCACCCTCCCGAGGCTGGGAAGGGGCTGGGCGCGTACGCGGGATTCGTCTGCCAGTCCCCTAGCAGTAGCTCATCCCGGAGCAGGGTGGGCGACGGGAGCAGCAGGTAGAGATCTAGGTCCAGATCCAGGTGGAGCCCTGCCAAGCTAAGCAGGATGGTGAGATGCAAGAGGCCGCCGCCTTCGGACCACCATGGTTTCAGGTACTTCATCTTCCGTCGCACGCCTGGGGACGCCCCGGCCGGCGTCCGCAGGTCCCAGCGCTCCAGCCGCCGCAGTGACACGTGCGGGCCCCGCGCACAGCGGCCACCTGCCCGGAAGAGACAGAAGCGGAACAATAACCCTGGACGCTCCGCGGCCGTCGCGGGTTCCCGGAGCGAGAGGCGATCCTTCGCAGGTCGGCACAGTGCCTGAGGCTCCAGAGGGACGAAGGAGGAGCCACTTGCGTGCGAAGCCCGCCCACCCGGCTGCCTGAGAGCTCCGCGCCGCCTCCAGCCCGGCCCGCGCCGGGGGCGCAGCCGCCGGGGACACGCCCACTGCCGCCGGGGGCCGGCGCGGGTGGGAGGGGCCTGCGCTGGGCGGGACGAGGCTCCGCTGCTCAAAGGCTCTTTATTCCACCGGAACCCAAAGCTCTCTGGGAAGCAGGAGTTGTGGGCGCTAAGTGGCGCCCAACCGTGTGCGGGTAGGCTGGGCGGTCGATCTGAACGCGCGGGTGGGAGTCAGGGGTCAGGGAGAAGTCCGGGTGGGAAGGGACCGGATGTGTAGACCGGGGGAAAAGTCAGGGCACAGGCAGCTTGCAAAGGGATTCTACCCACGTGAGGACTCACTGGTTCCGCTCAGGGGGTTCAGGAGTCTCATCCCTGGATTCAGATACCTGCCAGTCGTGTGACTTTTAAGTTCCTTAGCTTCTCTGTGCCTCAGTTCTCTTACCTGTAAAATGGGGGAAGTAGTACCTGTCCAATAGGGATGTGGTGGGTCAGATGAAACATCGCATGTAAAGCCCAGTTTGACATGGATTCCACGGCTGCCATTGGGATCCCAGAGCAGTCCGCCCCCTCAGGCCGCGTGCTGCAGCCTCCCAGACTCCGCACTGTTCCCTGGGCATGCGGCGGGCGATGCCAGGCCTTCCCCCACGGTCTCCTTTGCTCCTTAAATGAGGGTTAAGAACACCAGCTCTAGAATTGGTCTGTATGGGTTCACATGCTTTCTCCACCACTTAGTAGCCTGGATGTTGGGCAAATTGCTCATGCTGCCTGCCTCAGTTTCCTCTGTGTAAAATGGGACTAATAGCACCTTCCCCGCAGACCTGTTGTGAGTCCCAAATGAGATGCCTATCGACCACCAACCACAGCACTTGGTAGGTAGGAAGTGCTCTCTGAGTGTTAGCCACTATTTGTAGTACCCATCCTCTAAGGCTTAACCCAAAGGTAGATCCTCTGAGTTTTCACCATTTGAAGTTAATCACTTCCCCCATCTGCTCTCCCACAATGCTTTCTCCATATGTCAGCACTGCAACACTTGGCACCTACTTTGTAGTCTAGTTGAAGATTGGTGTGATTTGCCCATTGTAAATTCTTGAGGGCAAAAAACCCTGTTTGGCCCACCTTTGTGCCTGCACAGTTCCCTGGCGCTGGGCTTGCAAATGTAGGTTCTACTAACTGCACTCCCTTGCTTGGTGAGGAAGGAGGGGGTGCCCAAGGAGGACTGCCAGTTGTGTAGGAAGTTGCTTTCAATGCCCCCTTGCTCCACCTGGGTTTCTCTTTTCTTTTGGGGATGCTATGATAACTTCACACAAGATTTCAGTTTGCCCTGTGAGAGTCGGGGGAGCAGGTTGGCTTCTGCTTTGTCTTGGTAGATGCATTAGGGGTGGCAAAGAGCCTGGATTAGGGATTAAGAGAGAGGCTGGCCAGATTAGTGAGATTTTGGACAGAAGCCCTGTTCAGACAGCTTAGTCCCTGAGCAGGGGATTTGGATTCTGGACTTGGTAAATGTCAGCTGAATTCATGTTTTCCCCTAGGCCCTGTTCAACTTCCTGGTGCGGTCTGCTGGGTGAATTTATGGTTTCACCCACAGATATTTGAAATACCTAGAAACAAGGGAGAGAATGCTCTCAAATGCCAGAATATTGAGATGTAAATGACTGTGGAAGAAGTGCTGTAAACCAGGTGAGAAGAGAGACGGTGCCTTCTTGAAAATGGTATCTTCCAGAATCTCGCACAGAATTGGTGCTCAAAATATTTATTTTCAATTGAATCGAGGAGTTTCCACTTGAGTTATGTTTTGAGGGATCTGAATAGACTAGGAAGGGTATTCAAACTTCCTTTCTAACATTAGTTGTGGAGGGGGCTGGCCTTTTAAAATGTGAGTTGATAATCGTACGTCGAGCAGCTCCATTCAGAAGTGTGGCTTAATTCTAGCTTACAGCCTGGTGAAAAGGGAAAGGAGGCACACACAAGACCATGGGGTAAAATATTAAACAGGAGACTCAATCCTGCACACCTTTGACATCAGTGGTAACAAAGGTTCCATTTTTTAGGAATACAAAGAGTAGAGTGAGATTATTATTTTTTTCGAGAATCCCTCCATCCAGGAATAGCCAAGTGAATAGTGCAAACCATTGTCATGTAAAAGCTTTAAAAAGTCACATGTTTCTTAAAATCCATTAATCAGTGCTACGCAAAAGATAGTCCAAAACTGATGCTGACCCACCAACCATGCATATATGGTGCAGGTGGGGCAAGTAATAGAATGGAGACTGTTTAGAAATTTTTATGACAACTTGAAATTGTTATGACATTCAACATGTGACCAGTGGGTTTGTTTTATGTCTTTGCTATTTTATTTTTCTAGAAACTAATTTTTATTTATTTTACAAAAATTATGACAGACAGCAGATTGGAAATGAAGACAAAACAACCAACCAACCAACCATAAAGCTGGTCCTTCTCCAGCTTCAGCATGGCCTTAAATGGAGTTTCTGTGAGGTAGGCAGGGTTTGGGACAGCTTCCAGTGCTCCCCGTTCCTCAAGTGTGGGTGGAACCTCGTGACCTGCTTCTAACAAAGAGAGCACAGCAAAAGTGATGGAATGTCATTTCCAGGGTTAGGTTACAAAATGACTCTGAGTGGCTCCTCCTGTTTTGCTCACTGTCTCAGTCCGTTCAGGCTGCTGCACCAAACATACCGTAGATCAGGGTGGCTTGTGAACAACAGAGATCTATTGCTCACAGTTCTGGGAGCTTGATGCCCTGGAGCAGGGTGCCGGCATGGTTGGATTCTAGTGAGGGCCCTCTTTTGGCTTGCAGACTACTGACCTCTTGTCATGTTCTCATTTGGCAGAAACAGCAAGGGAGATTTCTCAGTGGCTTTCTCATCAGGGCCCTGATCCTATTCTCGATGGCTCTGTCCTCATGACCTAATCTTTTCCCAAAAACCCTGCCTTCTATTAACCATTATCTTGGGGATTAGGTTTCAACACATGAATTTGGGGGTGGGGGGACACAGACATTCAGCCCATAGCATTTACCTTCCCTCACTATCTCTTGTTCTCTCCTTGGAGAGGATGCCATGCCGTGAACAGCCCTGTGCAGAAGCTTGTGTGGCAAAGCACTGGTGTCTTCAGCCAATAGCCAGTGAGAACCTGGGGCCTGCCAACAGCCACTGAGGAAGTTTAGAAGCTGATCCTTCCCTGGTTGGGGTTTGAGGTGACTGTAGCCCTAGCCAACTCCCTGATTGAACCAAAGGATGTATGCAAGTTTCACGTGGATTCCTGGCCCAGAAATGACGCCAAGATAAAAGATGTTGTTTCAAGCCACTAAATTTGGGGGTAATTTGTTATGCAGCCTAGGGAACTAACACACCTTATGTGAGAAGTGGACATCAGACTAGTGGAAGGAAACACTAAAAATGAGACCGCAGGTATATTCAATGAATCATTTGTAACCATGAAGCACCACCATTACCGTAGGGCACTCTGGTCCCCAGATGCAATGATCTGGCTCACCCCTTTAAATGTAAGATTGTAACCTGGCATGAAACATAGTCACTGCTAAAACGTACCCACCAGTCAGTCAGCTGGGGTTAGGTGAGCACATGTGCTTTCTCCTGTGGCAGTTTTTTGTCGAGTATCTATCCAGACTCAGGAAGAAGGAAAACAGCTCTGGACCTTGGCATCCTTTTTTTTAGAAAGTTTCTGCTAAGATTAGTCACAAGAAATTTAAATCTGGTAGAAATTCCAGGATTAAGCAAAATAGCCTATTTAAAAACTCAAAGCATATATTAAGATAAAAATCACATGATCTAGGAATAAGATAGTATTAAGATAGATTTATTCATGTCTAGTTTCAAAACAGGCAGAGTCACTAGAATTTAAATGACTGCACTTGTTGAGACATTTTGCTAAAGGCTTCTGTGAAATTGATTTATGAATGACCTAATTTGCTATCTCTCATACCAGTCTGATGAATTCACTGACACTTAATGAAGATGAAGTTTATCCTTTTTGTTTTGTCAGTCTGCAGTCTTAGGGAAGTTTGGCTATAAGTTGTTTTGCACGGTATGGTGATGATTTTCACCATCTATTGGCTCACACGTAGCATTCTCAATTTAGAAGCTTCGATTTCCTGAACCTGGCTCTGTGCTGGTCCCTCTTCATGCATAAACTCATTTCTTCCTTGCAGCAGCTCTATGAAGTAGGTTGTACCACCATTTGTTATTGTCTAGATGAGGACACAGAGGCCCAGGGACATGACACCCTGTGCCCAAGGACATGCCCTTGGTAAATGGCAGAGTCAGACCCCAAACCCACAGTCTCTCCCCTTTCCGCTGCAGCCTTCCCCTCCTCTGCGCTGTTTTGTTTGTTGCTTCATCCTCCTCCTCATGAAGGAAGAAAATGCTCTCTTACAATCAATGCATTCTTTCCACGGCTTTTGAGAGTGTCAAATCTGCTAAAACTGTATCTTCTCAGCAATGCTTCAGGGGAAGTGGAGTATGGGTTTTGTCCCTCCATACGATGCTCCTTCTTCTTGATCTGTTACACTGAAATAACGAACTGTGTATTTCAGACACCCTCTCACATTCAGCTCTTCGGTAATTCTTGCACAGTTTTGATCTGTGCCAGCCTCATTTCCTTCAATGACATATATCAAGCACCTGGTTGGTGGCAGTCATTTGGGATGCAGACTTTCAAAACAAGAGTTGCAGTCTTAGCAGGGAAGTAGGGTGTGCACAGGTTGAAATGCACGCCACTGATTTGGCAGCCCAAGACTCCTCAGGTGAGAAATAGATTTACTGAAGGTTAGGCCTATGCCAGGGAATTCACAAGCTAAGTAGCTTTGCTGCCTCCTACCTGAACTCTGTAGGGTGAACTGAACATTCAGGTTAGGGTTCCAGAGTTTGCAGTCACTGTGTGTGTATATAAGAGAACTGCAAAGGACAGAAAGGGAATTATGTAGAAAGTGAGGTAGCGAGAGCTATGGGACACTGGGATGAGGCTGCTCTGCAGGGAATGAGAAGTATCCAGGTTTGCAGCAGATACACATTTGGGAGCAAAGGGGAACTACCATTGTCAACCTTTGTCCTGTCCATCACATCCAAGTGTTAGTTAGACCCCAGAATGGTTTACATTCTGGACCTGGTTCTGTTTAACCACCTATAAACAACCCCCACATTTCAGTGGCTTAATCCAAACAAAGTTTACTTTTTTGTCACTTCACAGTTCAAAATGGGTTTGGGATCAGGGGAGTCTGCTCTCTGGGGTCATTTGAGGACACATGCCCCTTTCCTTATAGTGGCCCTGCCCTCTTCTGTCTTCAGTATCTTCTCCAGTCAGCTGGGGATGGAGAGGGAGAGTGAAGGCCAAGCCCGGGAGTGTCTGGGCTGGGCCTGAACGTGTTCCCCAAGACTTCTACCCACATGCCATTGGCCAGAAGTCGGCTGCATGGCCACACCTACCTGCAGGGGAGGTGGGGCCTAGCCATGTTCCTAAAACCAAGAGAAGAGCACGGATAGCTGTCTCTTGTCACATCTGGTGGGCCACTGTCTCTTGGTCTTACTGTATATTCCACTCATTCAGAAACCACTTAGTACCTCCTGGGTATCTCTTTTGTGTAAATATATATATGTGTGTGTGTGTATATATATATATGCCCCTCATAGTGAATTAACACCCTAATGCAAACCTGAGTCGTTTATTCAAGCTTGACAAGCCTTGGTGTTTTAACATGCCACCTGGTTGGAGCAGGTAATGCCCATCATTAAAAGAGATTGGGATTCCTGGGCCTAGTCTAATCCTAGCTTGGGCCAAGCAAGTCATGTGGAAAGGATACCTATGTTTCTGGACCTTGGGCCTTGCACCGGCACAGTGAGACCTTGAACTGGACAGATTTCTGAGTTCCCTTCTTGCTCTGAGTGTCTCTGAAAGTCTTGGCAACGAATAAGGATTGTGTTAGACTGATACCAAACTCCAGTCTTCTCACTTGACTTATGAGACTTTTGGTCCCCAAAGCTCCACTACATGGCTTTGAAAAAGAAAGCAGAAGATAATACTCTCTACCCCTGATTAAATCTCCAATTGGAAGAAGAATCTAAGACATCTCTTCCTGACTTGTGATGCAGCGTACTTTTTTGTTAGCACATGTACTGCTTGATGACATTTTGAAAGTCTAACACTCACACCGGTCTTCACTCTTCAACTTCCCACTCTATGCTGACTGGGAAGCAGCCCAGAGGTTGGGTTGTGAAGAAAGTCACAGGTTACTCACGAAGGAGAAGACCCAAGCACCCATGATGGGCAATGAGTACAACAAACACAGTTTGTGGAGGCAGACGGATTCATTGCTCCTTTGCTTATAAGAAACTTATTTTGAGGCCAACAACCCTGGTCAGTATTTAATAAATTTGATGGGTTTTTTTATTATCTAGACTGATGATTAGTTCAGCACCTGAATTCTCTCCTTTGCTTAATCATCGCCCTCGAGCATATTTGTGTTTTTGATAGCAGCTCTAATGTTCTCATTACAAAATCATATCATTAACCAATTACTGCTTAACTGTTTCTTTGCCCTTGCTGGCTTTCTCTAATTCTTAGTTTTATCTTCCTGCACACCAGAATCTCTTCCTGATCCTAACTCAGCGGCAGCTTTCTGGTTGCCAAATTCAGAGTTTCGTGGGCAATACAGGGGACTTCCGAGCCCCCCGAAAACCCCTGTCTGCCTTCTACCCACCTTCTAAAAAGCTAAATGGTAATCAGAGTTTTTGCTTGCTGAGCAAATATTGTTTATTTTAGGTTCCTTCCCAAATTCACATCCACCCCAAAAGAATGTGAACTTAATTGGAAGTAGGGCCTTTGCAGGTGCAACTAAGGTAAACATTGAGGTATATTCTGTTAAATGACCCTCAGAAAGGACTGTATATGTTTTCTTAACAGTACATCCTAATTCTGAGTTTCAGTAAATAGCCTCCAATGTTCTGAGTAAAACTAATATAACCTGGCTATTACTAACACCTAGATTGGAAAGGATCTTAAAGCAGTTTCATACAGTAATTTAAATTGACTCAGAGAGCCTTTTTCTTCAGCTGTCTCCTCTTTCCCTTTCTATCCTATCTCATTTCTGTTAGGAAGTGCTTTGTGACCACAGGGTATTGTTTACTACTTTGTGGCTTCTGCAAGCATCAGTTAAAGATGCACACTACTTTCCTTAACGTACATCTTTTTAAATTCAGTGGCAAGTACATTTTCCCAATTATATGAAACTGTATCCCTGCAAACCTTCAGGATTGCCAAGATGAGTTGGGAAGAAACAGAACCTGGATCTGTTTCTTGCAAAAATGTCAATATTTGCTAAAACAAAGAGGTGGGAGGACCCCCACTGAAATGCCATCTGTCCTTGCCTTTGAGAGCCTGCTGGGAAACCTTTTCACTGCCAAGGGATGATTATTTGGCACAACTGTCAGTGAAATTCAGCAAGGTGGCTTACAGAGCAGAAACTGGCTGATGTCAAGTGATACTTTGCTATGTGAAAACTTCGAAGTGCAGAAATGACTTCATTTTTAAAATCATTAAACTAGGGATTATTTCCTCTTCCAAAGTGTTTTCCATACAAATCTTTTGATTGGCAGAATCAGCCAGTTGATTTAAACATTCATATTATTAGCCAGTTATTTTGTTGCTTGGTCTTTCTGAAAACGAGCAGCTGAGATAATGATACAATTCCCCTCTTCGAGTTCGAGTTCCGTTCTTTCCGTTACATTATATTATGCTGTTTCTTAAGCAAATAAGCACACTTCTTTCTTCTGTTACATATGGAACTCAGCTCCTTTGCAGTCTGAGGATGGAGGTTTAACAGACGCTTCTGACATATGGTCAATTTCCTAAACTGGGTTCCATAGGAGCATCTTAGCCACCTGGATTCCTGTGGAGAAAATCCAGGTTACTCTAAACAGCAACTTGAACAGTCATTCAAGAGGTCATCTTGGGTAGGAGTGGAATTCTTTAAAATGCATTTATCAGTTTTCAGGGTCCAGTTCCCCTCCTAAAGAGTATTGCTCAGTGGGATGTCTGACACTCAGTTTTTAATCGGTGTGTGAATCATCAAGTTTTCCCCTGAAAACACACTCATTTGGGAACCTTGAACCATCTGTAGCCTCTGACTCCACGTCATTCTTGTGACCCTAAAACACTCCATCCAGCCATGTGATTTCTTCTAAGTTTATTTCCAGCAGATGTCACTGCCACTCAGTTGGACCTTCATCTAATCTCGCTCTTCTCAGGAAAAGGTCACCCCAGCCTTGGCAGGGCCTGAGGCCATCTCCAGCTGCCCCTCTCACAGGTGGCAATGGACAGAGGTGCACCTCTTCTCTCATTGCAAGGCACTGGCCGCTCGGCAGACGTCTTATCCTAGTTTAGGACTATCGTGAGCAGTGATGCTATGAACATTCATGTACGAGTGTTTTGTTTGAACACCTATTTTTAATTCTGGGGCTTAGGACTCATCAGTGGCTTCAGCTGGCCTCAGCTGGATCGGTACATAGTAACGCTCTCTGCGGGCTTTTCGTCTGTGGATTTTAGCCACCGCTGTGATCACTGCCTACCCAAATAGGGGTCCAACAGCACACTTTCACAGAGGTCAAGGTGGTTAAGCCATTTAACTTTCAGTCAACATTAAATCAGCCCTGTTCTGGGCAACCAAGTTTATGTGCTCTGGGAGGGGAAGAAAAGAGGGGGAGGGAGGGGCTTGTGACCAAAAAAATGTGGGAAAAGCTGCCTGCAATGAACCCATTGCTGCAGATCCCAGAGCCCACTCACATACTAAGGCCCCTGGGGAGTTCTGCAGGGAAGAAACTTGTTTAGCTTTGTTTCTATCTCTCCCAAGTTTATTCAACAACAATTTTTTTCTTTATAATCCTCACTATTCATTGGAAGTTCTTTTGGTTCTCATGTATCTCATCCTGTTCTCCTTAGTCACAAAAGTTTCTAAGTATGCTAAGTATGGTGTGTGTGTGTGTGTGTGTGTGTGTGTGTGTGTGTGTGTATACAGCGTTACTATTTACCGATCAGGCTGAGGCCAGCTGAAGCCACTGATGAGTCCTAAGCCCCAGAATTAAAAATAGGTGTTCAAACGAAACACTCGTACATGAATGTTCATAGCATTACTGCTCACAATAGTCAAAAAAAAAATATATATATATACACCCATATACACACTAAGTATATACGTGTATATATATGCATAGTGTATATATATATATATATCCACTAAGTATATGTGTGTATATATGACTCAGCTTGTTTTTTCTAATATTTTTAAAGAAATTATTTATGTATTTTTAGAGAGGAGGAAGGGAGGGAGAAAGAGAGGGAGAGAAACATCCACATATAAGAAAAACATCCATTGGTTGCCTCTCACACACCCCCAACTAGGGACCCAGCCCACAACCCAGGCATGTGCCCTGACTGGGAATTGAACCAGTGACCCTGCACTTTGCAGGACGATCCCCAACCCATTGAGCCACACCAGTCAGGGCTCAGCTTGTTTATTCTTTTTATTTTATGCATGAGAGAAGATTTGGCTCATTCCAGACAAGAGAAAAGCCTTTCCTAGGAGCAGTAAGCACGTCTTTCCTTTCTCTTGAGAACACCTTGGTGAAGGCAGGTAGGGAGAGTGCCTGGAGAGTGCCAGGCAAGCGGAGCCGAGTGCCTACATGTCACAGTGTCCAGGGGCTCTGCGTGTTCACTGTCCCAGCCGTAGTCCCGGCCCCTCCCCGGCCTGCCCAGTGCAGAACTCCAGCCCCACGCCTGCCCCATGTGATTTGGGGATCTGTTGAATCTCTATAAGATTGGCTAATACCCAACCAAGGTTGCTTTTAACAGCCCTTTGCCTCTCTATTGTACCCATTCCCATTTTTGTTTTGGAAGAATCTAGTCCTTTCCAATTTGGACTCCAGAAATATATGTTTGTTTTCATTTAAAACAATTAAAAAAATGTCAATGTGGCCACCTTCTTTTCTAACTCTGCCAGTGCGCTCCTGTGTCTTTCTCACCTTTGCTATGTCCTCTCAAGGTCGTGATCTCAGCCCTGGACTTCTGTAGGAAAGCATCCTGGATATTGGGAGCCTCATTCTCTCTTCCTCTCACTTCTGATTGTGTCCCTCTACCTTCGCTCAGCACCTCCTCAACCAGCCCTTGATTCAGACAGTTCTGTTATGAGGTCACAGAGCACCTTGGAGTGCAAAGGGCAAAACCCATGAGTATCTCCTAAGCCTTGATGATTTCCAATAGATTGCTTTGATATTCCTTAATCCATAGCCGCCTCAGTCCCCATGTGATCCTGAGAGCCAGCCCTTAAGTCAGAATCACCATTAACCTTAAAAGCATATTTGGTAGTGCCCATTTAGAAAACATGAAATGCTACTAGAGTTTGCACTATTCATTGCTAAGTTCTTTGTGAGTCTGACTCAGCATCTGATTTCCCCGGCTGCTGATCTGTACTTCACACTCTGGGTGAGGAGAAAGACAATGAGATGCAAGACAATGAGATGCTTCCAAGGCCAGACGACTGCCCCACTTTATGACAGCCCCAGACACAGGGTTCAGGGCGATGTCTAGGCAGTGCCCCAGACCATGTCTTCTGAGGGGGAGTGACTCCACAACAGAAGTTGCCTCATGAGAATGAAAGGACAACTTCAAACACGCTGTCTGTAATTAATCAAATGACAGTGATGAAGCAACATGCAGGTAATGCTGGGCAGCCAACCCACTGTGGGGTGGAAAAATCAGTGGCAGATGAAAGGAGGAAGCACACCTGAGCCAACTTGCTCACGGCTGAAATAGTCAAAGGTGGGTACAAAGCGGTTACCTAATTCCTGCACCTGTTCTGACTCAGCATAATGCCGGGGCCGGCAGCAGCAGCAGAACATTTCACAGGGACACCCCCTGAATGGTGGCAGGGATGGGACAAAGAGGGTCCACTGGGCTCCGCCATCAGCTGTGGAGGACTTTGGAAGTTTTTCTCCTTCCATCAGGCAGGGCTTGGGCTGACATCTGGCTTCTCTGGTGTAGCTTGCAAAATAAATGAACGTGGATCCAGCCTTTCAAACATTGCCAGTGTAGATTTTTAAAGTGTATCAATGGGTTTTTGCTTTTGTGAGTCAGTATTGATCAGAACCTTTCAGCAGCCTTAAGTCTTCATTCAGTGGTTTTTAAGTGGCACGTAATTAGCTGACTTATTTGTGGTCCCTGCTTCGTAACTACATTGGACAGTACCAGGAGATAGCCTGCAGCTGTATGTATAAATCTTTCTTTAAAAGGTTTTATTTTTGTAGAGAGGAGAAGGGAGGAAGAAAGAGAAGGAGAGAAACATCAATGTGAGAGAGAAAACCATTACTTGCCTCTCATA